CTATATTTTAACTAGAAAAATTGGGGGTCGTCTTATACGCCCAGTCGTCTTATATGCCGGAATATACGGTATCTTCTGGCAGATCAGGAGTGCCTCTGTCTTGTCTGGATTAAGTTTTAATTTGTTGCCCTCGTCCAGCCCATTCCTGATAACAAATACAGCCTCTTGGATTGAGATGGAAAGGAATAGTAGAATTTGGTATCATCCATATATAGGTGGGAGTGCATCTCAAAACTACAGATGTCCTCTTCCGAGAGTTACATGTATAGGTTAAATAGCAATGGGGACAAGTTGAAGGACCCCATACAATCATGCTGGAACTCTGCTGTTGCAAGGAAACATTGACTAATCCCTTCTTACATATCCTTTAAATAACGGTTGAACCTTTTGTCAAATCATGGGGGAACAGCTCACATAAGAACAGTATGAAAACATTATAGATTTCTGTGGAAGGTACCCAATTTCAAGGAAAGATTCGGACATTATGAAGGAACAATAAAACTATAAAATGTACTTGATTTTAGAAAAAACCTTGGCTTTATTGATGGGTAATATTAAGTTCAGATAAAAGCTTTAGTACAAACTTACAACATAAGACAAAAATTGAAAAAATGTCTTACAAGGGCATTGTATGACAAGAGTGATGTTACAAAAAGAAGTCTGCACAAAAATGGGAAATTTGTGCTACTTCCACTCAAGAATAGACTAATCAGATTAGATGTTATGTATTCCTGATTTGGATGTATTCTAGTGATCTGCTTCCAATTCATGTATTCTCCCTGTGGCCTCAGTTGCCTCAGTCAAGCCCTGAATTTAAACCATACTGCAAGGTATGGATAATTATTTGCTCCGTTGGGCAGTGGCTGGGTGTGCCCGCAATGGTGAATCATACCTATAGTCAACTTCCTGCATTTCTTGTGTGGTGCTCCTTAGACGGGAAGCTGCAAGTGCCCACACCCGATCAAACATTCCAGCCAGTTCTGCTACACCTGACTTGTGCAACAGCAGTGTTTGTTTGTTTTTAATGGCAGAATGCAGAATACATACTTGTCTACCGATATAGCCTAGCTGCACATACTAATTGTATTTGGAGAAGGAGGGGAAGACGATGGAGAGAGTAGGTGCAACAAATATAGATGTCACCATTTTTTAATTTATTGTCTAGTGCTCTTGGAGCCTAATCGCTTTAGTTAAAGTATGCTTATAATGGAAACTTTTTGGCTGATTCTTATCATTTTGAAGCTAGTGAGGGGTTTATTGAGCAGATTCCCAGTGCTTTGTTTTCATATTGCATATCAAGAGAAAAATACTCACTGCCAAATCCATTGGGAATGAAAAATAACACTTTTTCTATTCTGTTGTGTATATTATTTGGTCCCTGTTTGATTTTTGCCCCCTTTATCTCAAGAAGTGCATTCCTGTCAGCCATTTCCTCTTTGGTGCCGATCCACATGAGGGAACGGTTGGCATGTTTTCTCATAGCAAAGGAAGAATGAGGGTGAAGTGAAAAATATACAAAGCACAGTGTCCAGATCACCAAACATCTAATAAAACTGAAGATTCAAGAGAATCTGTTCTATATAAGATGATTTATTTTGCACACTGAGCTCCAGCATGCTCCATACTAGAAAAATTGGAACTTCCAAATTTCAACTGTCAACATAAAATGGATTACATTAAATGCTTTGGAAAGGATCCAACTGGATCATTTTAATCCAGTATAAATAATTGCAAGATGGCTGTATTTGTGGCTTACTCATTAAAGGCCATTCCTCCAATATGCTATTTCAGTGCCAGTTTCTTTGAATTTATATTGTCGATTTCTTGCTCATGCAGGATAATATTAAATACTGCATCTGCCTAATAAGGAATATTAGAAAAAACCAAGGTTTAATTCATAATTGCTTGGACAGGATTCTGCTTCTTTGATCCTTATACACTGAGTGTACAAATTCCATGCTCTCTTTCCCCTTTCTTCAAATGTCTATCCTCCACTGTAACCAAACACAGTTTGTTTTTGACCTTGTTCTCCCATGCCTCCACCCTGGAGTTGTAAAGTTCTTAATCAGACGCAATGTCCGCCTCACACAGTGGCTTTGTAACCTATAACAAGCCCACGGCTTGTTGTCAAGGGATGCTGGAGCCAGACAGTGTTTCTCAGGGGATGTTGGCAAGAGTTCTGTTCTTCACAGAAGCACATTCTCTGGAAATGCCAAAGGACATTTCTTTGTTACTTGTGACTGCAAAAACTTTAACCCTAAATAGCGTCCAGTTGGGAGCTGCAGGATGGAGGAAGGGAGGCAAACTGCTTAAATGATAAAATAGCTGCTATGCTCAAGGCAGGACAGAAGAACTGAAAAAGAAAATCAGTGGTTTGTTTGCCTTTTGATCTCCATGGATGTGCATCCTAACGAGCATCATTGGGGCTGGGGTGGGGGAGAGAGACCAGAAGTAGATACATATCTCCAACTTGAAATATTTTATTTACTCATATTTTGAGACTTCCTTCTCCATCCAAAGAGTCACAGCAGATACAGACACAAAGCAAAATTGGGGTGGGTCAGAAACTGAGTTAATATTTAGTGGAAATGGATGGAGAAAGTAACTACTTATGAACCATAATGCATGTCTAATGCCAGGGAAAGGGCTAAAGTGTGGCGCTCAGCATTGTCTTGGAGTAATATCACTTGAGGAAGGAGCTTTTTATCCCAGTTCTTTCCATCCCTAAGAACATCCATGCATCTAAAACAGTACTTAAGCACTGCTGGGCATTAATCAGCACATGCCCTCATTTTAGCAGTTGTGATCCTTTTTTAAATAAAAGGAATGGACAGCATACAGTATGAGGCTTGCTTGAGATTTCTCCTTGAGTATTGTTCAAATCTTGATTAACTTAACTTGTCCCATTTGAAAAGAGTCTTGCATACAGAAAACATGAATCTGTATCCATGGTCAGACATGAAAATTCTGGATAGATAACAGTGCCAAAGTTCTTAGTCACCAGAGTTAACGGAAATAGGAAGCAAGCAGCGGACATTTATTGCATGCTTTAATTCTCTAGGTGGAATTTCTTGGAAAAGAAACTTGTGAGAAATTAATGGGTATTGATATTTGAGTTATCTGTTTTTAAGATGAGAATACCACAGCTATATAAATGGATAACTTTGTCACTTCTCTAACGCCATAAACTGATCCGATGACCTTTTCTCTACTTTCAGCCTCCTTCTCTGAACGAGTAAGAAACATGTCACCAGATGAGATTAAAATCCCCCCAGAGCCCTCAGGCAGATGTTCCAACCACCTACAGGTGAGATGCAGCTCTTCTTACCCAAAATGTCAACAGTTGTGCAACACATCACTTTAGCTCATAGTTCCACAGAGGCTGCGTATGTCTTTCACTGCTTCTTTATTTCAGCCAGGGTTTTTCTTGCAAATATTTTCTTAACTTGCATATTCATTTTCTTAGCTCAGTTAACTTGATTTATTTCATTTTTATAGATGGCATATGCTTTGCTCTGAAGCAGTGGTTCTCAACCTGTGGGTCCCCAGGTGTTTTGGCCTACAACTCCCAGAAATCCCAGCCAGTTTATCAGCTGTTAGGGTTTCTGGGAATTGAAGGCCAAAACATCTAGGGACCCACAGGTTGAGAACCACTGCTCTGAAGAATCACAACTGGACCTGAATGTATAAACCAAGCTTGCACTGGCTTCTTTTTCACTTTTCTTTTGAATCTTCCCTAAAATGTCCTCAAATTGATTGTAAAACCCTGTTGTTTCTATGCTGCAATTGGGTCCAACACAAATCTATAAATCTATCATTTCCTAATAACCAAGTCAGCTTAATGTCTTCCAGGATTCGTTGCTTTGTGTGTGTTCTTACATTTTATTTCTGGGGGTTGTGGGTGTAGAAGCCTGTTATGGCTCTGATTGCCACCACATAGTACCAAGGGTGACCCAGAATGAAAAAAAGCTACACATTCTATCTGAACAGGAGTGCTTGTGATTTAAAAATTATCAACTGTTTTAATTCTTCTAATTATGGAGAAATCTGTGACAAGGTAGGGCATGATTTTCACTAGTTTGGAATAGTGGTACAACTTGCAGTTCTGCTGCATAAAAACAGTCTGTACCCTGCCTTTACAGATCACGTGCTGTCTCTAATCTGATCTTTATCTCCTAGTCTGTTGCCCATCCTCCCCAAAACTAGTTTTTTAATTACTCTTTCCCTGAAATGACAGGAATTACTCTTCCTATACGGATCACACAACAGCTCCATGGTTTCCCAGATAGTTTTTGGACACAATTCAGAGTGCCGGTTTTGACCTATAATGCCCTAAATGGCTTGATCCAGGATATTTGAAGGGCCATACTTCTCTTTATGAGCCTATTAGAAGATCATCTGAAAAGGACCTTCTCTCTGTCCCACCACCCTCAATATTTTAATGCTTAATATATTTAATGACAGAAATTGTTTAATGGTTTATTAATTCTCCTATTTGTATTTTCATGCATTTATATTGTTTCGGTTTGCAGTCTTTTATATTTATTGTTATCTCCCCTGAATCCCTAGATCAGGGAAAAGGCAAAATGGAAATAACATAAATTATTATTATTATTATTATTATTATTATTATTACTATTATTATTATTATTGCTGTGGCTGTCATTATTTAGCACTATAGACTCCATGTTCATTTCCAACCGCTTTTTCATGGTCAAGGAGACATGCTACTCATCAAAGTTGCTTAAAGAAAAAGATACGTAGTTTTCAGGAAGCTATGCTGTGTTGTATAGCTTTGGGGAGTTTGCAAAATACGTTTATGTTGTATTTGTACCTCCTTGGACTTGAAAATGTGTATTAATTCAAATAAAGGGTCAGATTTCATTTCTCTTTATGTCTGCACTACTGAATGAAATGAAGCAAAACTTTTGAAACTGGGGAAGAGCCACCATTAAACAGCCTTTACAGGAGGTGTACTTATGGATTCTGTTATTTTTTTTATATAGGAAAAAATACAAAAGCTGTATGAAAGAAAAATAAAAGAAGGCATGGACATGAACTATATCATTCAGCGGAAAAAAGAATTCCGCAACCCGAGGTAAAAAAAATCCTTTCTACCTATACTCAGCACGTTATGGCGCGAAAAACACTACGTGAAGACAAGTGTCATACAATGCAAATGGATCACTTTCACTAGACTATTTTTATTTCTAGCTTCCACAGTTATCACTTCCTGTTAGTGAATACAATATTTATCGAAGATTTAGAACTTAGGAAGAAAATATAGCTGAATATATCACTGTTATTTGAAAACTGAAATTTCCATTTTTGTGTGTGACATTGAATGCTTCAGCAGACTGTTCAGAAATAATATTATATTAGTGTATAATATGTCTGCTGAGTGTAGCTTGTCAACAGATGTGTTCTCCTGCATTATTTTAAAAATACTCAATGAAAATGTTTACTTGTTTGCTACATTACCACTCATACCCAAAAGTAACCAGGAATATTTAAACTTACGTATATGGAGAGATGAGTTCAATTAACCATTCACAAAGGTTTATATTGATTTGTTAATTTTGTCTTTGGTAACTGAGTCACTGGGACAGAGTGGATGGGGGTTTAAAGAATCCCCTCTGAATTTTTTTCACAGATTAATGAGAGCAAACCTAGGTATTAGATAAGTTTGTATCATATTAATTATTTACTGAATGTATATGTAATAGCACAGCAACATCATTTTCAGTCTTGCAGCATAAAATAGGGAAAAAAACATTTTATATTACCTTTTCAGGCAGTTTGCTCAGGATAGTAATAGTAATAATAATAACAACAACAATAACAATAGCAGCAACAACTTTATTTGTATTCCACCCTATCTCCACAGGGAGAATCAGGGCAGATTCCAACAAGAGAAGGCAAACATTCAATGCCAATACAATAAGAATAATAAATGCAAGTCCATTAACAAACCACCCAAATCCCCTCCAAAAACCCCAAATGTGTACTGTGTTTTTAATAGCACTTTAAAGCGCACATAAATCAAGTTTACACCACATATCAAATCAAATTAAACAAAATCCACTTAAAATTAATTTAAATTATATCTAATATAAAAACATAAATCTGACTTCACAAAGAATTCACAATAATCAATAAGTTAGTTTAAAATTATGTTAAAATACACTATAGTTACCTGGAATATCACTAAAACTTACCCAGCCAACAAGCCAAATTCCAGGTGGCGGTCTATTGGCTGGACACAATCAGCTATTAAAAACACAGTACACATTTTGGATCATAAAAGCATTCCAGCAGGAAAAAAACCCAGAAAATTAGTCTATACAGCATGCAAATTGATTTTAAAAAACTCAAAAGAAGGGAACAAATTGTCATACAGTGCTTAATTTGACCTGGAAGTACCCTCAGGGTGTAATCCCTTCTGGATTGGTGTCTTCTTTCAGCCCTTCCATGGTAGCCGTTGCGGTAAAAGCCTAATTAATTCTGAATGTCCTTCTATCTGTTCCTCTCATTTAAAAAAAACCCTGTTCATAAAAACGTAGCCTTCCTGGTTTTCTAACCTAGGTTCTATATACATGAAGGTTTGGGGTAACTCAACTTTCAAAGGTTAAATATGAATGTGAATGCAAAAATATAGAAATAATGTATTACACTGCTCTGTTTCAGCATTTATGAGAAGCTGATCCAATTTTGTGCCATTGATGAACTCGGCACAAACTACCCCAAGGTGAGTCGATGAAGCACTTTCGCAGAATTAGATGAAATTCATGGCAGGCAATGTACTCTGGCTCTGATTCTCATGTGGGCTGTGATTGTCCTCGCTTCAAGGCAGCTGGATGAAATAGGAGCAGCTTCCTATCTGGTCTCAGGGAAGGGCAGCAATTGCTGTGTTGTGCATTCTTTAAATTATTTTTAGGAAATATGCATATTACATATCCTTTATTGTGGATTCCAGCACAATTTCAGCATTCTTCTGTAATTGTTACTCTCCCTCAGGGGCTGTATCAAAAAAGAGAACATGGAACCAGACACCATTCTTAAAACTGAAAGCCCTGTAAGGGATGTGGCTTCAGGGACCCTCCTCAAAACTACTACTTCCCTGACTCACTGTCTGCCACTCTCCTCTCAGAACTATCTATAAACAAACTCTCCCTCTCTCTCTCTCTCTCTCACACACACACACACACACACACACATATAGAAAGATAATTGATTAGAGTCTGTAAAGTTTTTTTAATGTTGGAGGAGGGGAATCTAGAATATAAAACTTTGATTTTAATTTTCTACTTTAATCACTGCTGGGCTATTTTTGCTAATACTTTCCCTTCTCCAAGCCCAAATCTGCACTGTGGAGTTCCTAGCCTTCCAGGGAAAATGTGGAAGGCTCATCAAGAAGGGGAGAGATAAGGAGGTCTCCCCACCCCTGTTTCACTTCCTTCCATCAGTAGAATTGCAGTTACATTTGTGGTCTGTGTATTTTTTTAAATTACATATTATTTAAGATTATTTTTCTTTTCTCTTTTAGGACATGTTTGATCCTCATGGGTGGTCTGAGGATTCCTATTATGAGGCACTAGGTATTCAAACTTCCCTTTAAATACTTTTTTGGTAGCTGTAGCAATGGCTGGACTTAAATCAATATAACAAACAGTTTAACAGAATTGTTTAATTAAAACAATATATTAATATTTGTTGTGCTTTCTTTCCTCCATGGAGTTCAAAGGGAAGCTGTTTCTGTGATTTATATATTTTCCTCTGTCCGAGTTAGAAGAAGCTTGTATCATGCTTGCTGTAGTCTGAGGGGAACACATGTTTTTAATGGAAAGAGATTTACACTCAAAATAGTATTTTTGCAAAGCTCGAGGGTAGCATCTTTAATGGTGTATTCCTTTTGATCTTCCTGGTATGGGAATCTGTAATGATTGCTGCTTATTATCATGCCTGTCTTTCAGCAAAAGCACAAAAAGTGGAAATGGACAAGCTGGAAAAGGCAAAAAAGGAGCGAACAAAGGTATCAGTTAATATGTCATATGATTGTTAGAAGCCTGTGTACATTACCAAATAGTTAAAACAAATGCACAAAATTTTATAACTATATAGTTAAGATTTTCCATCATTTTTTAGCTAAATTTTTAATGTCATTCACTCAGATTGCACCTTTTCTTCTGTTTTCTGGTAACTAAAACACAGACATATACAGAGTGGGTCAAAGTCACAATGGGCTTTCAATATTTATTTTTGGTTTTTAATTTACATTACTATAGCCTGTACCTCGAAAAGTTAGATCTGGCCATGGTGGTTCACACCTTGGCTACATCTCGGATGGATTACTGCAATGCACTTTACGTAGGGCTGCCTCTGAAGACGGCTTGGAAACTACAATTAGTACAAAGAGCAGCAGCCAGCCTGTTAATAGGACCTAGTACAGAGAACAGCTCCATTGGCTGACTATGTGTTTCCGGTCTCAATTCAAAATATAGATGATTACCTACAAAGCCCTACATGGTTTAGGTCCAGTCTGTTTGCACGACTGTGTCTCCCCCTATGAACCTGTTTGGGCCCTGAAATCCGCCCTTCTCATGGTCCCACCTCCATCACAAGCATGGCTGGTGGGGATGAGGTAGAGGGCCTTCTCTGTGGTGGCCCCCCACTTCTGGAATGCCCTTGCCAAGGATATTAGACTGGCTCCCACGCTAACCTTTAGGAAGGAACTGAAAACATGGCTTGGAAATATGCTTTCGAAAATGGCTAACTGTAATCTAACCCATGAAGCATTAAATGGGACTACTTTTAACTGCATCTTATTGCTCACATCAACAAGAGCAGGTTCTATGATGTTTTTAATGTTTTACATGTCTTAATTATTACTTAGTTTTATAATGTGTGATTTTTTTTACTTATACTTAACATGTCTTACTGTTATTTATTCTTTCCTATGTATTATGGTTTGTTTTTACTTCTATTAATTTAATTTTTCCTGAATTGTTATGTGTTTATTATTATTTATATTGTTTTTCCTGATGCAAGCTACTCCAAATCCCTTTGGGGAGAGGAGGCAGTATATAAAAAAAGTATTATTATTATTATTATTATTATTATTATTATTATTATTATTATTTTCATTTAATAAATGTCTAAAGTACCAGATCTGAATACTTCTTCTTTTAATCTTCTTCTTCCTAGATTGAATTTGTAACAGGCACTAAGAAAGGGACCACAAATGCTCCTTCTACAACCACCACAACAGCCAGCACTGCAGGTGGAGGTAAGTCAAAGATATGTTGTCCAGATTGTGTAGAAGCCATGGGAAAGTTTCGTTTCCCTGATCTCCTTTAGATGTTTTAAAGGAGAAAAATAGGAAAGTGGTAGTACTTGACAGCAAGTAACAATAATAGCAATCAACAGCCAAATTTTTTCACCAAAGATGCTTGCATAAAAAAGATCTCTGTTTGAAGTGGAACATTTTGTAGCCCTTGGTGAGAGAGAGAATGCACAGAGACCCCATCTACACTGCCATATACAATTCAGATTATCTGCTTTGAACTGGATAATATGGCAGTGTAAAAGGGGCCTCAGTAAAATACACCATGTTTACCTTCCACTAGTAGGGAGTTATGGTTTTGAAAGACTAATTAAGAAATGAGGGTATTATGGAGTGGAACCAAACAACTGGACACGTTTTCATTTAAAGGAGGGTTGGGCAAATTTGGGCAGGTGCAGAGGCCATTGTTCATGACTCCTGGCTCTGCTACAGGCCACCTCAAGCCCTCCCAACAGTCTTTGGTTTTAAAAAACAACATCAAATCATTAGGGGGGGTGGGGGGAGTCTTAATGGATTCATGGGATGCATGGCTACAGCTCTTCCAGAGTTCTCTGATAAAAACGATCTGACCTGAGCAAGCACAGTCAAAATGTAACATTTGCTCTTTGAACACACAGATGCCCAGAAAAGGAAAAGCAAGTGGGATTCTGCCATCCCTGTGACGACCATTGCACAGCCCACCATTCTCACAACTACAGCAACACTGCCAGCTGTAGTGACTGTTACCACGAGTGCAAGCGGCTCTAAAACAACAGTGATCTCTGCAGTCGGCACCATAGTGAAAAAAGCAAAGCAGTGACAACCACAGTGATTAAACTGACTGGAGACTTTTAAAGGGGGTTGAAAGACTGAGACATGCCAGAAGCACCCCACTGGGAAGTAAAGGAGGGGTACTCCCTTCTTCTGGCACAGAAATATATGAGAGACAATTTAAAAATGTACATGAGAAGGAAGAATTGGCTGTATATATCCATATTCCTATATTTATGTGGGAAGAAGGTCTTGGTTTTCTTGTGTGGAACCATCCCTCAATATGTTCCGTACAGTGCAATGCCACCTTGTATGATGTTACATCATCAAATTTTCTAGTTGTGTGTGGTTTCTTAAGCTTTGTGAAATGAGGACTCCGAAAACACTGTAAAGCGTTCTCTGTTTCTTCCTGAGCCATTTAGTGTTGAATTACTCCTGCTTGTTCTGCCATCCCATTCTTTTGTTCCAGACAATGCCATTGATTTTCCCCGAGGAAAAACTAAGCGACATAAGGACAGATTACATATAGACTCAAGTTTCATGTAGGTCACCCTAGACTGAGTGAGCTATCACTGTGTAACCTGCTAAAAATTCTAATGTCAAATACTTAAAGGTTTGAAAGCTTTAACATTTAAGACCAAATGTTAAAAATCAGCAGTAAATATTTTGTCTAGTCATTGGTTATCATTCTGCAAAAAATGAACTATGCTGATGGGAGGGCGTTGGCAAAGAGGGAGCAGCAAATGGGGAATTTTCTATGTCCATTTTAAATCTTTGTGTATGGTGGTGATGTTGGTGCTCAACTATACTGTTGTAATGCTGCCATTTTCGCCAATGTAACAACAAAAATGCTGTCAATTCTTTGTTTAATCTTTTTTATCTATGTAATTTAAATCTTGGAATATAAAAATGTTTTAAGTCCTGTTGTCATACTTCACTGTTAGCATTTATCTGTCCTCTGTTCTAGTTGGGAAAATGTCCTGAAAAATATGGTCTACTTCAGGGGTCCTCAAACTAAGGCCCGGGGACCGAATACGGCCCTCCAAAGGTCATTTACCCGGCCCTTGCTCAGGGTCAACCTAAGTCTGAAACAACTTCAAAACACACAACAACAACAATGCTATCTCATCAGCCAAAAGCAGGCCCATACTTCCCATTGAAATACTAATAGGCTTATATTTGTTAAAATTATTCTTCATTTTAATTACTGTATTGTTCTTAAGTGTTCTTTGCACTACAACTAAGATATGTGCAGTGTGCATAGGAATTCATGTTTTTTTTCAAATTATAATCCGGCCTTCCAACAGTTTGAGGGACTATGACCTGGCCCTCTGTTTAAAAAGTTTGAGGACCCCTGGTCTACTTCAATATAATCTAGAGGAGGCATAGGACAATTTTCTAGCTTTGAGACCATGTGGCAGGCTGGAGTGGTGTGGGCAGGCCAGGAGGGAGAGGGTTCTCCCCAAGTCCCCTCCTTGCCTCTACAGAAAAGCCTCCAGAGAAGAAGACTCCACCACACTCCAAGGCAGCCTATTCCACTTTCCAGGCAGTTCTTCCTAATCTTTTCCGTCAAATCTTTCCCTACCATTTGAAACGATTGCTCCCTTGTTCCCTGGTCTCTAGAGCAGCAGAAAATAATCCCCCCTCCTCCTCAATGGGATACCCTTTTAAATCTTGAAAGATGGTTTTCATTTTCCCTCTATACCTTCTCTTCTCCCCACTAAACATCCTCCAGGAGGAAAAGAGGAAGGAAAAAAGAAGAAAGAAAGGGTGGAAGAGGAAGGAAGGAAGGAAAAAGGGAGAGAGGGAAGGGAGGAAGGGCGAAAGGGGGAAGGAAAGCGAGAAGGAAGGATAGGATACTGAGAGGAGGGCCCGAGAAAAGAGCCCAAGGGGTCGCATCCGATCCTCAAGCCTGGGTTTGCCCATACCTGATCTAGAGAATGCTGCATTTCATTTAAGAAATGAAATGCAACATTCTCTAAATTCTATTGAATTTTGGGAGGAGTCATAAAGTATGAAAACTTTTGCTATCTCCATTCCAGATCATAATGTTTTCATGCTGATGATTTTTTGTAGTCTTGTTTGTAATTTCTCAGCTATGTGTTGAGAATAACAAGAGTATCCTTGATTGAATTTGGGTTAATTTTTGAGATAGTTTCTCATCCTAAGAAAAAAAATATTCAGTATATCTCTTGCCAATTTAGTCTGCATGATTAAACCACAATGAGCTGGAAGTAAAATGAAGGCTTCCTATCAACATATTACCTCTGTGGCAAATTAGTACTTCTCACTGGCTTTGATGAACAGTTTATGAAGCCAGGACAAAAAAATACTTTTGGAGGTCACATAATCCGTTCAGACTAGACCCCTCATTGTATAACTGTTCTGAACTGAACTCATGTGAACTAAGAACATTTTCTCTTTATGGCAGTGCAGAAAGTATTGTGTTCTTCTCACGACAATTTTATGTGAAGCAACAAAAATGCAGAAATGAAATCAACATGATTACAAAATAATCTTGATCTGTGCCCTGAGCTTCAGGAGAAAGGCAGCATATAAATAACATTCATTTTTTGAAAATCAGTTCTCAATTCTGCCACTGTCTTCCTTCTGTGGGATCTTGTTATGATCCATTCTCTATTGTAACTAGAACCATCCTATCATGGGTAATCTCTCCAGCGTTATTTGAAACACAAAGCTATCCTCTGTTTTTTTATGGAAGGGAAAACTGGAAGTGGGATCGTGCTAAAGGTAAAGACTAAAAGCACCAGTAGTGATGGATACTGGGTTTTGATTACTGTAATGTGCTCCAATGTAGTCATCCATGCCATCTGCTATGAAATCTCAGATGTTCAGACCACAAGCTTTCTTAGATTTTCTTTGAAGATGGGGCTGATATGAGCCTGATCATCAACTATCCTGCTTCTGCTCAAGCCTGTTTTAACCAGTGAAGGCTGAGATCATGCATAATTTGGCATGGGCCATCTATGTGTTCATTAACATCAAGAGTGTTCTTCAAAGCAATTTCAATCCCAGATTCTCAGAAGAGTGCCTCCTGACGCTTGGAATTTACAGTGTGAGCTCAGTGGACCTGTATCTGCCTAGAGTTTGCCTTACACACCATCAAGAAATTTTTAAATATCTCCCATAGAAATGTGCAGTAATATATTACTGCTGCTATTTCTTTGTATTTATTTAACTGCTGCTTGACTTGAGGTGTGGTTGTACTATTTATTCTATTTTGATATGTTGGTTTGATATCTTGATTTTGGAAACTGCTTTGAAGTAAAGGTTGGCATACACTGAACTAAAAACAATACTTTTACATTGTAATGCTGACATCTGCCCCCCCTACTCCCTCTGATCAGAAGGGCAGACTCTGGATTGCTTTCCTTTCCTCGCCCCTCTTGAAATATGTTTGTTAAGGGATTATTCTACATGTTTATCATACATCCTCTTACTGCTCCCTACCTGCAAATGAGTCAGAGTTGCTGCTGCTTTTGCTGGCTCAGAATCTTCTGGGGAGGTTTTATAGTCAAACAACTACATTCAAAGCCAGTAAACACAAAGCTATGGACATTCTCCAGGCAACTTCCCTCAAGATTGATTCATAAAATGGCACTGGTGTGCATGAGCACAGTATAAACTAGCTGTGCCCTGCCACGCGTTGCTGTGGCCTATAGTAAAACTTATCAAAGTGAGGTAGATATCTGGACTATTATGAAAGAGAGGTACCTACCTATTCCTTCCCCCTTTCTCTCCTTTCTTCCTTCTCTACCTCTTTCATTCTTTCCTTCTTTCACTACTTGGTTTCATCCTTCTCTCTTTCCTTCATTCCCTCCCCCTTTCTTCTTTTGCCTTTCTTCCCTCCCTGTTTGCTTCCTTCTTTCTCTTTTTATTTCCTTTTATTTCACCACCATCATAACAATAACAATAATGCAATGCATTGCCTCTGGGACCTGACACCTCTCCCATTCCCCCAGGGTCTAATAGGAATAATAGCATAATAATAATAGAAATAACAACCTTTACCCGCCACGTGTTGCTGTGGCCAACCTTCCCACTTTCTCTCCTTCTTATTTTATTTATTTATTTATTTATTTGCTTTATTTCTATACCGCATATTTCAGCCCAGACAGGCGACTCAATGCGGTTTACATGGTACAAATTATCAACAATGTCAGTGCAATTAAAACGCAACAAGTGCGACAAACAGGATCAACAACATCAATCCACAACAGTTAACAAATCAGAACAAGACAGTCAACAAACACAACATAACGCCTCAGTGAAATCAGATCCGTTCTCATAATCCTTGTGCCATTCCTATGTTCCATTTACCGTCTTCCTTTGGTTGGTTGCACTGCTCAACCAAACGCTTGTTCATAAAGCCAGGTCTTAACCTTTCTCCGAAACGCCAGCAACGAAGGTGCCTGTCTGATGTCTGCCTGTAAGGCATTCCATAGCCGAGGGGCCACCACTCTGCGTACAGATAACACCGCACCCCGAAACTCCGGATGATCTCTCCCAACGGCTTCATGTAGATGTTAAATTACATGGGGGACAATATTGAACCCTGCGGAATCCCACAAGACAATGGTTGTGAGGAAGAGCAGTTGTCCCCCAGCAACACCTTCTGAGTACGATCCTCTAGGAAGGACCTGAGCCATTGCAGAACAGTGCCACCAAGGCCCATTCCCGCGAGGCGTCTCAGAAGGATACCGTGGTCGACGGTATCGAAGGCCGCTGAGAGGTCCAGCAGAACTAACAGGGACACACTCCCCCTGTCTAGCTCCCTGCGCAGATCATCCACTAAGGCGACCAAGGCTGTCTCGGTACCATGTCCCGGCCTGAAACCAGACTGTGCCGGATCTAGATAATCAGTGTCTACCAAGAATACCTGGAGTTGTGAGGCCACCACACGTTCCAGGACTTTGCCCAAAAAGGGGAGATTGGAAACAGGCCGATAGTTGACGAATTGAGTGGGATCCAGTGATGGTTTTTTCAACAGCAGTTTTATCACAGCTTGTTTTAAGCTGGCTGGAATTTTGCCTTCCTGAAGGGAGGCATTAACCACCACCTTCAACGACTCGGCCAATCCCCCTCTGGCCTTCTTTAGAAGCCAGGATGGGCAGGGGTCTAGGATGCATGTGGTTGCCCTCATTCCTCCAAGTATCTTGTCCACATCCTCAGGTTTCACCAATTGAAATGAATCCAACAAAATCGGATAAGCAGATGCTCGTGTTACATCCTCTGAGACTGCCGTTAACATGGTGTCCAGGTCAGAACGGATCAAAGCGACTTTGTCCGCAAAGAACCGAGCAAATGCTTCACAGCGGGCCGTCGAGTTGTCAGGGTTCCCATCCGAAGTGGTGGGATTTAATAGACCTCTGACAACTCGAAACAGCTCCGCTGGACGGTTCTTTGCGGACGCAATATTGGCCGCAAAGAACAACTTCTTTGCCGCCTTTATTGCCACGGCATATGCCCTTAGAAGGGCAACAAACTGTGTTCGATTTAACTCGCTTGGGTCCGAACGCCACACACGCTCTAGTCTCCTCTTCTTTCGCTTCATCGCTGCCAGCTCCTCGGTGAACCAAGAAGCTGGTTTAGCTCGGCTACTTGAGAGGGGACGTTCCGGAGCAATCGTGTCTATTGCCCTAGTCATCTCCCC